TTTTTTTTTTTTTTTTTTTTTTTTTTTTTTTTTTTTTTTTTTTTTTTTTTTTTTTTTTGTAGGATTATAGTGATTGACTATCACTATTAGGGTAGTAAACTTTTAGACCAAATCAAGTAAATTTCATTTTTTTTCCACCCGAACACGTTAAATGGAATCGAACGTCATCAAATGTTCTATTATAAAATGTCTTCCAACACATTCTATGATGATCTTAGTAAACATGTGGTAGCATATCGACTAATGTTCAAGTCAAGAGACGAGATTTGGGCATTTTCCCAAATAAAAGGTAACTACCTGATCAAGAGCATATCTGGGTTGCGTGTTTTATCATCCCATGAGTCAATATGTAGTAAATTAAATTTATTTTGAGTATTTTTTAATCGTTTTATTTGTTCCGTACATTCATGTATCACTTTACTAAGGTGTCGGCATAGTCAATCAGACAACCGTTTAAGCTAATTTACAAATATAATTCTTCGAACAAACCCAGTTTTTTTCTCCATCGAATAAAGAACACCCATAATCATTTATTTATTTAATTGAGAAAAAAAAAAAAAAAGTCAAAATTTTCCACACAACGTGACATATCATTGGCAAGGAATATAATTTTTACAAATATATGCTCTGCACGTTCATTTCCATGGACCATTCCACGTCAGCAATGTGAACCCATATTTAAAAGCCTTCCCGAAAAAAATAAAGAACCAGAGAAGCCATGGCCATAACCAAGGTTCGACCAACAATGGCGATTTCTGTGCCGAAAAGAAGGTGGACGAAGCAATCGAAGAAAGTGAAGGAAACAAAGCTTCGTCTATACGGCGACGTTCTGTTCAAGCTTCTGTATCGGATTCCTGCAGCGATTTTCTTGCTATTGGTTCTGTTTCTGTGGTCGTCTTCCACCACCGTTATTTCTGGAAGATTCGTTCATGTCTGTGTTTCTTCCAGGAAGCTTACCAATCTTTATTGCCTTTCTGCTGGCTCACAGCCTAACTCTGAACTTCCAATGCAAGTCCTTAATCACAGTCGCTCCGACTCCGCCCTTCGGTAAAACCTTCACCTTATCTATCTACGTCTTAGTCTCCTATTTCATTATCAACTAGGTTCCGACTCCGTAATTTTAATATATATATATATATAGATACACATGAGATAAAGCCTAGATTTAGGCAAGATTGGAGACGAAAAAATATAAACCCGGTTTAGCTAACAAGCACCCCCATTTTCAAATTTGTAACGTTCTCTTTGTGTTTTTTCTTTCGAGCTTCCCCTTAAGGCTTTAAAACAATCCACCCTTTTGGGCGGGCCTAGCGTCTTCACTAACACTCTTTTCTTCTTTCAATTGATATGAGACTGCCACCAAATCCACCTCTGGCACATCTTGTGATGTTTGACTTTGATACCATTTGTAATGGTACAAATCCACTAGTACAAGATATTGTCGTATTTTAAGGCTTTAAACCTAAAGTGGGTCCCACAAGGCGAAATGAAAATATTTATATATATATATATTTTTTTTTTTCTGTATCTAAATATTTGATTTATATTCTGATGAAGGAAATCGGAAACAACAGCAAATGAACTCCAAAATTCAAGTTCCAATGGCTACATAAAGGAAATTATTGAAGTTCCAGAACCTTCCCAGTCTACATCTTCTACAAGCAGCAGCAGCAGCAACGGCACCATTTCTGCAGAATCCTCGAAGGAGATTAATCAACACCATTCCACCGGTAAGAATTCCACCGGAAGTCAGCCAATTACGGCAGAAGACGACGAGATTGACGTTGCAATGAAGGCCATTGAAGAACAGCTACGGCGGCACCGGTCATGGAAGTGGGTGTCGCCGGAGAATGTTGGGGCAGCGGAATGCGGCGGAAGAGGGATTTACGTGTACGAACTTCCGGCGAAGTTTAACAAAGAATTGGTGGAGCAGTGCCACGACATGGTTCCGTGGATTGATTTTTGTAAGTATTTTAGTAATGATGCCATGGGAGAGCCGATTCCAGAGCTTGGGAAAGGGTGGTTTAATACTCATCAGTATGCGCTCGAGCCCATATTTCATTCCCGGTAACTATGGTCCAATTTTATTTACTTATAAACCTACTATTATTTTCATTTCCTTAATTAGCTAATCTAGACTCGCTCGTAACAAAATACACCATAGAATCTTTTCTAAGGTTTATAGTATCCTTGAAGTACACTACAGAACCTGAGGCCGGTATAACCCTTGAACACTCTCTCTTAACAAAATACACCATAGAATCTTTTCTAATGTTTATAGAACCCTTGAAGTACACGACAGAACCTGAGGCCTATATAACCCTTGAACAATCTTCCCTTAGTCGAGGCTTGACTCTCGAACAAAGTACACCATAGAGTCTCTCCTGAGACTTATAGAGCCTTCAAATAGCCTCCTCATAATCAAGGTTTGACTCTCTATCAAAGTACACCACATAGTGTCTCCTAAGGCCTATGGAGTGCTCAAACAGCTTCCTCTTAATCGAGACTCGACTCACTAACAAAGTACACCATAGAGTCTCTCCTAAGGCTTAGGGAGCCCTCAAACAGCCTCCCATTTATCAAGGCTCAACTCTCTAACAAAGTACATCATAGTCTCTCCTTAGACCTATAGAGCCCTCGAACAACTTTCATTTAATTGAGGCTCGACCCTCTAACAAAATACACCATAGAACTTCTTCTAAAGCCTATGGAGCCCTCAAACAATCTCCTCTTAATCGAGGCTCGACTCCTTCTTTAGAGGCATCGAACAAAGTTCACCATTTGTTCGACACTTGAGTCACTTTTGACTACACCTTCAACACTCACAACTTCGACATTTGAGAATTCTATTGACATGACTAAGCTAAGGGCATGACTCTATACTAGGTTAAGCATCTAGTTTACTGAATCTAACAAGACCTTCTTCCTTCTTTGCTCCGCCGCGAACAGAGTACTGAAGCACCCCTGCAGAGTCCACAACCCAGACGAAGCCAAGCTTTTCTACGTGCCCTACTATGGAGGTCTAGACATTCTCCGATGGCACTTCAAAAACAACGTATCCTACGCCCTCAAGGACTCATTAGGCCTAGAACTCGTCCAGTGGCTCTCGACCCAGAAACCATGGACTCGAAGCTCAGGAAAGGATCACGTCTTCGTTTTGGGCAAAATCTCATGGGATTTTCGAAGAAACACCAACAACAACAATGCCAACAATTCAAATTCATCATGGGGCACCAAATTTCTAGAGCTCGACCAATTACAAAACCCCATCAAACTCCTAATCGAACGACAACCCTGGCACGAAAACGACGTCGGAATACCCCACCCTACATTCTTCCACCCTCACTCAGACGACGACGTTTTCGCCTGGCAATGGAAAGCCCTCCGATCCGAGAGAAAAAACCTCGTGGGATTCGCAGGCGCCGCCCGACCCGACTCGCCGGAAAACATACGGTCATTACTAATAAACCACTGCGCCGCAGCAGAGAACGGACGACTCTGCCGGCACGTGGACTGCACGTCAGGGAGCTGCGACAGAGCAGAAACAGTGATTACTCTGTTTCTGGAGTCGGAATTTTGCCTGCAGCCACCGGGAGACAGTCCGACGAGGAAATCGGTTTTTGATTCGTTGATTTCGGGGTGTATTCCGGTTTTCTTCGACCGATTTACGGCGTATTATCAGTACCCATGGCATTTACCGGAGGATTACGGGAAATATTCGGTGATGATCGATAAGGAATCGGTGAAGAGAAGCGGCGGAAACGTGGTGGAGAAATTGAGGGGAATTTCGGAGGAGAAAAGAGAGGAAATGAGGAGCTATATTATTTATGAGCTCTTGCCTGGCTTGGTCTATGGAGATTCGAATAATGTGATGGACAAATTCCAAGATGCTTATGACATAGCCATTAATAATTTGCTTCAAAGGGTCTCCACGTTGTAAAAACGACGTCGTTTTGCTTTTGTTTTTATTTATCATTTTGGTTTGAAGATACTAAGAGAAAAAACATGTATAGAGAGAAATTATTCCACCTAGATATATATAAATCCTATGAGTTATGACACTATTTTTTCCCTTGGATTTTGATTTATAATTTACACACATTTAATATTATTAATTTAAATAAATTTATAATTTTAAAACTTTTATGTCTGTATTTAATATGTTTACTCATTCATTTATTTATGTGATATTCTTTTAAAAATTCATTAATTTTTTAAATATTTGATAGCTAATAAATTATTAAATTATTTATTAGGTGTCTTTATTTCTGGATCAAATATATATATATATATAAACATATCTTGTTTTATTTTAAAATGTTTTAAATTTAATGATTTTGACCCGTATGATCCTAACTAAATAGTTTCAATGTCCTTTTAGCTTATATGGAAATACTTTTTGGAAGTGTAGGGGTATTTCCGTCAATGAAGCAGCTGAGTGTGCGAGCAACAGAACAGTTGACTTTAGATGCGCATGTTTCGGAGGATTTTGGGCAGGTGTCCCGTTTTGTCTCTTTTCCGTAACCGTTATTTAATCTGTGAGGTGGATGTATCATGTGATGCTGATAGAGCAGGGCCACCGTCCGATCTGGATCCCATCACATTTTCCTCAACTTCACCATTATACCCCTCCTCTCCACATCTTTCGGACACGTCACTCTTACTCTCCCTCTTTGGCCAGCTGGCAATCACGCATCACACGTCGTTCCTCTTTCCCGTACAACTCATTAATTTGAATGATTAAAGTGTTTTACACGTGGCAGAGTTTTACGTGTGTTGCCCCTCATGACGAAGCCCAGCGTCTCGTATCGCTGAAAATAAATACTCAGAACTTGTCAGATCGTTTTGTCCTATTATCATTTAATAATTGTCAATTAAGTTTTATTTATTACTGCCACATCATCAAATTGACTACGTGTAAATTAACTGTATTTTTTTAAAAATAAATTATAAATTACCCTAAATAATCCAACAACATATAATTTAAAAAGTAAAATAATAGCATATTTACGCTTCATATTTATCCTTTTATAATTAAATCATTAGTAACAGAAGAAAATATTAAAAAAAAAAACATAAAATATATCAAATATACCGTTTACCAAAACCTCAAAATAAAGGAAATTACGAATATATAAAATATATTTTAATAAATAATTTAAGAATTTAGAAAAATAATATTAATATTTGAGATTAAAAAAAATTATGGTTTTGAGAAGAAACATGTATAATTACTAAAAAAGCCCTTTGTTATTTAAAGAATACGTTGAGGAGAACGAATTAGGAAACAATAAACAGAAGAAAAGGGGGTGTGAAATTACGAAAATACCAAGAACAGACAACAACCAAGTCAGTCAAACAATAGTTGGTTTAATCCAGAGACAAAAGAGCGGCGGAAAATATTTAGTGTATTCTTCGAATGGTATGATATAAAATGTACCACAAATTAATCTCACATTTTCTCTCTTTAAACCATTCTTCATTAGAGCCCACCATTGATGCACCTTTCTGTAAAGCTTTCTCTGTTTATAAACCGACATTGATGAGAAGGATTCTGTAATCTCTTGCAATGAAACCCAAAACCCTTAATTACCATGGCTACCACTGCGACGGCGGTCAGAGTAGTGGCAGTAGTAGCTCTCCCAGTCCCCCTCATTCGCCGCCGCGTTACGCTTCTAAGTGGCGGCGGAAGGTGCGTTCGAACCTCCATTGGAATCAGCCGCTATGGGAACTCTTTGTCGGTGGCCTCTTCACTTTCAGGTTTAGCTGTACACATATGCTGCTTCTTCCTCTGCTTTATGTCTCTGGTTTCATCATGTGTGTTGCCCCTTTCTCCTCCTTCGTTGCTCAGCCCCCTCCTCCCCCTGGTTGGGTATATAATACCCATCTAATGTATCACCGGCTGCACCGCCATGTTCATTCTCATCATTCCTCCCCAATTCAGGTTCGATCCTCTTCCTTTTGGGGTTTAAACAAATGGGGTGGGGGGTTTTTAAGCATTTGTTCAAAAGGTGTGTGATTTGTCTTGTAGTTGTCATCTGTTTGGAAATACAGAAGGTTGAAGGAGATGAAGCCATGTTCGAATTCAACCACTTCTCGACCGCGTTCAGGTAATAACGGTGCAAGATCCCACATTGGTTGTGGACGAAGACAATATCTGCTAGCTGTGGGCTTAAGTACTCTTTCGTTTGAATTTCAGAGTTGGGCGATACTAATACTTACTTAATTGTTGATGCTAATGGTGGACTCAACCAGCAACGCTCTGCGGTGAGTATTGAGTTGTGAACTCTATTCGGGTTAGTATTGAGTTGTGAACTCTATTCGGGTTAGTGTTTGTGTTATTTGAGTGGCACCTTTGTTTGTTAATCCTTGTGTAGATCTGCAATGCGGTAGCTGTAGCAGGGCTTCTAAATGCCATTCTAGTTGTTCCCCGCTTTGAGTTTCATAATGTCTGGAAGGATTCAAGGTATATGCATATGGAAGTCTTGTGTTTCATGGTATTAAGAGCTTTTCTTTTTCTTTATTGCTTCTATTTTCAGTTCTATCGCATCGTGTGTGATCCCACGTTGGTTGGGGAGGAGAATGAAACGTTCTTGATTAGGGTGTGGAAACTTCTCTCTAGTATTAAGGGTAAGACTAAAGAGTGACAATATCTGCTAGTTGTGGGATTGGGCTGTTACAAATGGTATCGGAGCCAGACACTGGGTAGTGTGCCGGCAAGGATGCTGGGCCCTAAAGGAGGTGGATTGGGGTGTTGCACATCGATTGGAGAAGGGAATGAGTGTTAGTGAGGACGCTTGCCCTAAAGGGATTGTGAGATCCCACATCGGTTGGGGAGGAGAACGAAACATTCTTTATAAAGGTGTGGAAACTTTTCTCCCACATTGGTTAGGAGGAGAACAAAACATTCTTTATAAGGGTGTGAAAACTTCTCCCTAGCAGACACGTTCTAAAAGCCTTAAGACAAAGCCTTAAGACAAAGCCTAAAAAGGACAATATCTGCTAACGGGCGGTGGACTTGAACGGTTACCCATCAAACTTTTCAATCTCAATAATCTACCATAAATGAATCAAGTGAAGAGCTGGGGAGCTATTAAATTGTTCTCTCACTATTCTTTTTCAGTAAGTTTGGTGATATTTATGATGAAGATCATTTCATAGCAGCCCTCGACGGTCACGTTAAAGTCGTCAAAGAGCTACCGGAGACTTTAATGCAAAGATATAACTACAACATCTCGAACATTCCTAACTTTCACGTGCAAGCTTGGTCTCGTGCGGATTATTACCGGGGAGAGGTTCTACCTGTTTTGCAAAGGGAAGGGTACGTATGAATGCATATTGGTTCTGCTCAAACGTCTTACGTTTTCTAAATTCGAGAACTAAAGGAAATTCTGTCATCACTTCGACATCTAATCTGATGCAGAGTCGTTCGAGTGTCGCCATTTGCGAACAGATTAGCCATGAATATACCACCTGAAATTCAATTCTTAAGATGCCTGACAAATTATGAAGCACTAAGGTTCTCTTCTTCCATTATGGCTCTTGCACGTAAACTAGTTAGCCGGATGATCGAAAAGAGTTCAAGGGATGACGGGAAGTACGTTTCGGTCCACCTACGGTTCGAGGAGGTACTGATGCTTCTCGATCTCCCGGACAACGTAATTGTTTTATCTCTTCATTTGCTTTTGTTCAGCTTATCATCTCATATATGAACTCTAGGACATGGTAGCTTTCTCCTGTTGTGTATATGATGGAGGTGAAGCTGAAAAAATCGAAATGGATTCGATCCGAGAAAAAGGATGGAAGCAAAAGTTCAAACTCAAAGAGCATCTCATTTCCCCCGGTCTTAACCGAATTAACGGAAAATGCCCGTTAACCCCCTTGGAGGTACCTATAAGTTACCTTGAATCGTGTGTTTTTCGACGATCATTTTCGAGTAACAATTTCTTTAACAAAAGCTTATATTGTGTTGTACTGTTCATATGCTTTTCTTTGTGAACTTTGTTCTTGTCATGTTAGGTTGGAATGATGTTGCGCGGTATGGGGTTCGATAATAACACTTCGATATATTTGGCTTCGGGTAAGTTGTACCGGGCAGAGAGATACGTCGCTCCGCTACATGAAATGTTTCCTCTTTTGCATACAAAGGAATCGCTTGCAACACCAGATGAGCTTGCTCCTTTCATGGTAAATTAATTTTGATCTCAATGGCTTTGTAAGATTTTAGTAAAACCATGACGGCTGATGAAACATTTGTAGCTTTTCCTTCGATATTTGGGAGAGTGTAGAGCAAAACTGTAACGGTTTAAGTCCACCGCTAGCAGATATTGTCTTCTTTAGGCTTTTCCTTTTGAGCATTCCCTCAAGGTTTTAAAAACGCGTGTGCTAGGTAGGGAGAGGTTTCCACACTGTTCTCCTCCTCAACCGATGTGGGTTCTCACAATCCACCCTCCTTCAGGGCCAGCGTTCTTGCTGGCACACCACCTCATGTCCACCCCCCTTCAGGGCTTAGCCTCTTCGCTGGCACATCACCCGGTGTCTAGCTCTGATAATCATTTGTAACAGCCTAAGTCCACCACTAGTAAATATTGTTCTTGTTGAGTTTTTCCTTTCTGGCTTCCCCTCAAGGTTTTAAAACGCGTCTGCTAAGGAGAGGTTTCCACGTCCTTATAAAGAGTGTTCCGTTCTCCTCCCTAACCGAAACTGAGATTTCAAACATAACTATTACCAAAGCTCCTTAATCTGCCATCTCTTTCCGTTCAACTCAAAAGCTTTTACGTGTTCAAAACAAAAATCGTCACATCTGTTAAGTTCTAGGGAGCGAAGCCAGAACTTATAACATTGAAATGAATTGCTTGTACTCGAAACTTTTTGTGTGAGAACGAGTTTTGCAATTCAAGAGATATCGTATGAACTGAAATGTATCGACTATCCATCGACAGGGATATTCTTCAAGATTGGCTGCTCTGGATTATATGGTATGCTTGTTAAGCGAGGTCTTTGTAACCACTCAAGGAGGCAACTTCCCACACTTTCTAATGGGGCACCGACGTTTTCTCAACGACGGGCACGACAAGACGATCAAGCCCGATAAACGAAAGCTTGCTATTTTAATGGATGATAGAATCAAATTAAGGTACACACCCATGAACTTTCAAATTACTTCTTAAACATGTTTACTGAAAGGTATTCCGACTTCGTATCGATGCCAATCACGAAAAGGTTAACGATATATTAGATGAACTGCATAGTGTTCTGTTGCCATCAAGATAACTTTATATCGTGTCGATTTACAGCTGGAAAGAATTCAAGGAACAAATGGGGGTAATGCTTTCGGAGAGCGACCGAAAGGGGCTGATGGTACCGAGAATAAGACGATTCAACCGAAAAACTTCTATCTACACTTACCCTTTACCCGAATGCAGATGTCTTCAAAAATCCCTTAACACCAACTCCACAGACAGTGAGTATACACTCGATCAGCTCCACGGAGCCACGAGATAGCAACATTGCTCGAAATTTTGCTCGGTGTAGATATTCGTCGCCTTGGTAGCATGGTTGAAGATGCTAGTTCATGAACTATCCTTCAGCTTTGTTTCCATTTATTAGGTTCCCTTCAATTATGAACATGGTTGTAGAAGAGCAGAGTTCTTTTGAAGGAGCTGAAATGGGACATTATCAGCGACATCTTAATACAACCTAGGAAGCTGGAAATGATTATTATTGGTTCTTTTGGGGTTGTCTTTTTTTTTTTTTTTTTTGTTCAC